TCAAAAGAATACATTATCTCAAGCGAGGCCAGAAGGGCTAATTTAAATTTAAACAAAAGAATATCAATCCAGCAGCCATTAATGAAAGTGGTCCATGGCAGTACTTTAATTGTGGTTTTTATAGGTCTGCCTCTCACAAAAAATCGATTGTGATATCTTAGGTCTGCCTCTAACAAACAATTGATCATGCTCACGCTCTATCAAAAAGACCCAGGGCTCAATTTGCTTCTCTTATTACAAGAATATTATCAAACAATCACACTGGATATACTATGAAATTAAAAACTCTTTCTTCAAAGTGTTGAACAGTAAAAAGTAAAATTAAGAACCAAAACATGTACAGTAATAGTTTATTATAACAAGTTACAAAATATAAACTACAAAATATAAATGGTCAAGGAATCTTAAAATACACAAATCAACATCACACTTCATCATCAAAACAAAACAAAATAAAATATTTTGGGGTCCTAAACAAAAAAGGTGTTGAACATTGTATGGCCTGATATCAGAGCCATCACATTTCCCACTTCTTATTTGTGAGTGTCAAAAGATTCTCTGAAAAATCCAAAGTTGGTCTGCAGTGCATACTTGTACATACTGAAACACTGCACATTACTCAATCACAAAACATCATCCCTTTCATTGCTTAAGAGATGTTTGCTGTGAAACAATTACCAAGACCAAAAAAAGGGAAAAAAATCTAGTCTGACATTTTAAAATGAACACATTAAGTGACAATGTGTAATGAACACTGTCCCTTATCATGGTCTTAAAATTTTTGGAAGTTCAACTGGTAAATATCTGTTCCTTGTATTAAAAGTGTGGTTTGTCCTTGCAAAATAGTTTTGAAAAGGCAAGCATGTATTACCAGGTAAGCAAACAAAAACATACAGACAGACTTTCCATTTCAAAGAACTGTCAGTTGATGGAATGCAAGTGTACATATTTTCCAGTCCTGAAGTTATGCAGTTCAGGCCTCCACATTCGATGTTACAAATTTGTTGCTTGCAACAAAATATTGCAATAAAACAAAGTGATTTGAGACACTAGTTATGACTTTTAATAAACAGACATTAACTGCCCCTTGAAGACAACAAACGAACAAACAAACAAGAAACAACAAAGAGCAAAAAACCAAATGAATTATTTAAGCAAATAAAATGATCTTAAACAGAAGCTTTCTGGATGATGATCCAGATACTCCACGACCCTTGTTCCAACTCATTAACCAACTACACTCCGTAGAATACAAACAATGCTATAGGCGAGCACAAATATCACGCGGTATTTGTACTCCAAAGAACCGGTTAGACAGGTTTTCTCGCATCCCGCAAGCGAAGAATTGGATTGAAGTTACGAAAACAAAAGGGCGGACAATTTAAATCATATTTCTGACAAGGAAGAGTCAGAATGACTGAAAAATATAGATACAAGTCTTTGGGATAAATCGAACGAAAAAAATTAAACTAAACGACCTGGAAATGTCTTCATTTATTGAAGAAAATAGAAACAGCAACACGACAACCCTCCAATTCCGTTCCGCTGCGCATACTTCTGTCACGCACTCCTCGTAAATAAAAAGCCGCGAAATTGGCCCGCCCAGAAATAACATTTTGGCGTGTTAAATAATAAATAATTTATTAGACGTTTTGTTGTGTAGTATCGCTGAGTATTTTGACTCGTAAAAATACGAATATCTTATTAGACGTTTTGTTGTGTAGTATCGCTGAGTATTTTTACGAGTTGTGCCGTATTTTGACGAGCCCGTAGGGCGAGTCAAAATACAAATAACACGCCAAACTATTATTCGCGGATGTTTATTTATGGGGAGTGCGTGACAAAAGTCTACCAAGTGGAACGGAATTCAGCGCTTTGTTGTGCTGCTGTTTCTATTTTCTTCATTAAATGAAGAAATTTTCTGGTCATCAAGCTGTTTTTCTTCGTTCGATTCATGTAATAAACTTGGATCTATATTTACTAACCACTCTGACTCTTCGTCGTCGGAAATATGATTCACATTGTCCGCCACTAATTTTTTTTTTCTTAACTAATTAAATTCTTCGCTTGCGCGATGCGAGAAAACCTGTTTAACCGGTACTCTACAATAGACGAGTACAAATACCGCGTGATATTTGTACTCGTCTATGGCGTTATTTGTACTCGTCTGAGTGTAGTTGGATAATAATCAGCGATACTACACAACAAAACGTTTAATAAGATATATGAATTAGTCAAACGTTAGGTGAGACCTACATGTTGAGTAAACAGAACTCGTTATCAACTACTTTAGCTACAATTCTCTCTCACCTAACAAATGTGAGTGTAAAACTGAAGCTTACCTGAATGAGAGGTACAATTTTCAAGGAACAAGTTAGCATCATGACACACACGGACCGTGTTTGATTTTGATTTTACGAGGCGGTCAGAATCCAGTTTCCTCGCGGTACATTTCAGAAGAAATTTTCACTGGACTGGACTTTGATACATGTATTGTCTCCATATTACCTTAGACAGAACATTTTAAGTTTAAGATTGCCTCTACTCTGAAGTACCATAGAATTACAAGCATTATGAAACTGGTTGAAATTTTGAACTTTCTTTGAGCCTTGGTAGCTAGCAGGAATGGGAAGGAACATAGAGCTTCGTCGCAAATCCCTCCGCGAACACAAAACCGCCATCCACCAACACACTTTTCAAACCTAAAAACCTTTCGAAAATTTGAGAATGAGTTCAAACTGTTGTTTTTTGCTTGACCAAACGACTAAACACAACTAAGACGACAGTGCCGCTGAAGCCTTAAAATCGATTCACGTTTTACTTTTTCAACGTTTGGAATTTGTTTAAAACGAGAATTTTCGAACCATTATAAAATCGCTAATTAGGGCAAATGAAAGCATGTCAAGATATAAGGCCTTCAAAGAAAACAACTATAAAAAGAAGTCTTTGTCAAAAATCAAAAAAAATTTGACTCCTTGTAAAATTCATTCTGCTTTTTGTTCAAATATTTAATAGCAGATAGGGTGCTCTCTTTTGAAGGTATCACGGAAACTGGCTCTGATGCCCAATGGGTTTGCTAAAAAAAAAGCACAGAATTTACTTGCGTAAGTTTTCTTTTATTTTCTTCATCTCTTTGTTTAATATATAATTATGTAGACAGAGGTGTTCGGCATCTCGGGAAATGGCCTACTTTACATTTTGACATTTTTTGATGGCCAAGCAAATAGATTAGCTTGCTGATGGAATGTTCCGTAAACAAGTTGTTATATATCAGTTCGGCCTTGACTTCGCTTTTACAAGTCAAGTCATACATCACAGGTTCTTTCGATTTGCTGATGCATCACTTTACCTCTTTCTATCTTGAGGGAAACCCATGTGGACATCACGTGAACATCACAACGAAATATCAAAACTTGAATTAAGATTTGAGTCAGCACAAAGGCCAATTTATTGTCGTTGTGACTTGGTAAGGTAGATTCATAACAGAAATACCCAATTATTGAGTTAAGAAACGTGTATGAGCTGAGGGATAGCGAAGCAGAAACATTCTTTCCATTTACAATGTCAATGTCTTAAAATAATATGTGCGTTGATTATTCATATCTTCGTTTCTCGTCTTTTGTTGGCTCTAGAGGCTTTCATCACACTGTAGACGGATCTACCTCGATAAAGTTATTCATCTTAGATTCTTCCTAACGTAGATTTTGGTTTACGATGCAAAAGAGAAAGGTCTGTTCATCCAGAACCAAACTTTGCGTCTATATTGAAGGTATGTTAAAAATGATTCGGTTCTGCAAACATGCTATCTGTTTTTTGTAATATATTATCATTGTTTGACAAGGCTGAAATGGCTCTTCCGTCGGCCTTAAGAAAGGAAAGTTAGAAAGTTAATTTATTTGTCTTTCATTGCAACTGAACTGAACGCAATCAACGCCACAAGCTCTCGACTACAAGGAAAAAGTCTCTAATATAACTTCATGCATGATTTTCCGCTATTATGTTCAACCACCGAAAGGAAATTATTTATTTTAATATTAGACTCCTGAGGTTTCATATTTTCGGATTTTAATGCTCTTCCAATCCTACAAAAAGCCTGGGTAAGCTCTATCGACATAGATATGCAAGCAAAAATATCTATATTATATTTTTGCTGTTAACGTGTTTCTTTGATCAGGAAGCTATTCTTAAAAGAGGGGCCCTAAAACTTCCACGGCTGACGTACGCCTTTTTGTACCTGATTTGTATAATTTACACTACGCCAGTACATGTCTCGTTAGATTTTGGTTTTTTTTCTTTTTTGTAATTGAAGGATCATACTTTGGCGAGACAAGAGACTTAGACAAGACGAAAGTAACACAAAAAGGTAGAAACGCTACTAATAATTTCCTAACAGATATCTATTCTTTTTTAAATGATGCTGTTTACAGAGTGGTTGAAAACAAGACTGTCTTCATATAAGTCATTACTCTTGAGTCATCTATCCGATTCAAGTGAGGCCTTTGATTCGGGGGTGAAAGATTTCTGGGGGTGATTGTACCTTTCTTCAATAGGACTTGCAGATTACGATCCTTAGGCAAACAGAAATGACTTGAAATGTAAGAGTCCAATGGTGACAATCCAGAAATTTCTGTTCAAGAAGTGACACCTTAAATTTAGTTGAATTTCTTTGCTTCAAAGCTTAGCAAAAGAAATTTAAAATATCTCTTTACTCAAATCTGATAAAGCAAACAACGAATATCTCTAGAAAATTTTAGTCTTAGTAACTTTTGATGACATATGTTATGAAGAGAATTTTTCAGCTGAAAATTTTAATATTTCACTATGCATTTATAGAAATTTTCAATTGAATGTCTGAAGTATTCTGGGATTGGCATCCAAATCTAGTTGACGGCATCTATGAGGTTTGGTGGCACTTGCGAAACTGTTGGTGGATCAAAAAGATGTTTGCACTGAAATGGTTTCGCGTTGACAGATTTATTCGCAAAACAAACAAAAATTCGCGTACTGCGAACAGGCCCTTAGTTAATATAACCAGATTACCTTGTTACACCCACCGACGCAGCACCACAGTTTCTTTAGAAACTTACCTCCTTTATTCATTTGTCTTATTGCGATTAGCCAAGTTTTCCATGGTACAAAGCTTATGTAATAAAATATTATTATAAACAAAAGATAAAAAAGAGTTAAACATAACAGTTCAGAGCTTCTTATACTTGAAAGGAGAACACAACACCAAACCTTGTCTCTAAAACGTAGAACTCCTTAACTTAACCAATTGTGCGAGGTGCTTGTTTCATATGATCATCGTAATGCACATGGAGGGCTTCCTCAGTACGAAATAACACCTGACAAATCCAGCAGCTGAACTCTCCACCCAAGTGTACTTTGTTGTGATGGCGAAGGTGTCCTGCTTGGCTAAAGGACTTGTCGCAAACCTTGCACTGTAAAGGCTTTTCTCCAGTATGTACCCGGTCATGTTTTCGAAGGTCTCCCGCATGGCTAAAGCAATTGCTGCAAAGCTTGTACTTAAAAGGTTTTTCTCCAGTATGTACCCTGTCATGTTTTCGAAGTGTTCCTGCTTGGCTAAAGCACTCATTGCAAACTTTGCACTTAAAAGGCTTTTCTTCAGTATGTACCCTGTTTTGTATTCGAAGTGTTCCTCCTTGGCTAAAGCACTTATTGCAAACGTTGCAAGTAAAAGGCCTTTCTCCATTATGTACCCTGTGATGTTTACGAAGGCTTCCTGCTTCGCTAAAGCACTTATTGCAATACTTGCATCGAAAAAGCTTCTCTCCAGTATGTACCCTGTGATGTTTGCGAAGGTTTTTTGGCTAAAGCACTTAGCTTGCTGCAAACTTTGCACTTAAAAGACTTTTCACTAGTATGTACTTGGTTGTGACGGCGAAGGCTTCCTTTTGCTTGAGGGTTGTTAGATACCTTGCTTTATTGGGCCTTTCATCCGAAAGAACCGTGATATGTTCGCGAAATTTATGTGCTCTTTTAAAACACTTGTCAAAATAGAAGCATTTAACCCTTTCCCAGCAGACAGAACCTAATCATTTGGCCATACAAAACTTAAGCTCACTTTTTTGTCGTTATATGAAGTATCCCTTACAATATTTGCGGTTTTGAGACACCATGGGCTCAGACTTTGGGGTCATCTGACCTAGATCAACCGCTCGTGTTTGGATGCGTTCAAATCTACTCGTTTTCTCGCGTTTATAAGTGTTTTTCGAACCATTTTCTTTCTACAGAAGCTCTCAGGACAGCATCATTAAGCTGGAATGTGGGTAGAGGCAAGCCTCTGAAAGAAAACAGAGGTGACAGGTAGTTTCATGTAGACTGGAGCGCCAAAATGCTTTCATGCAAGTTTGGCGAGTTCACAAGTGAAGTCGTCTCTCTGGCCCATCTGTGGATGGCTACTAGGACCTACCAAGGCTTTTTGGGCCAGTTTTGAGTGGCAAAAGTCTCGAGGGATGTGATATTTTGCTGGTAGGACTGGGTAGTCCGACA